CCTCGCCTTATAAACTTAAGTGTTTTTCTAGTTTTCCAGCTTCAAATACAAGCTTTTTCTACTCCTGCCCCTTGTACTTCGGAGGCAGAGGTTGGATACGTGTCCTCTTCGCCCTACTGCCACTTTCAGTAATTTCTCCCTTATTCCTTGCAGTTCTGTAATTCAAACCTCCCCCCCCCCCCCCCCCCCCGGCCCCTTCCTTATTTTCTTAACTGCTGACTTGCTTATTTCTTGAAGATTTTAGCTCTTGGCTCAGTTTTTTTTTCTCTCCTATTTCAATAGTTTTAGTGATCCCAGTGGCCTTGTGGATAGCAGATCTCACACTGTGTTCTTGGAAGTTTCTCAGTCTTTTTCTCTCCCACCAGAAGCCTTTAGGTGGTCATGCCCACCCAGATCCTTAGCACCTGAAGTTTCTATAAACTTGACTTTGAGCATTTCATTCTCCATTCTCTGCCTCCTATCCCTCTCCATTGCTGAAGTTCCTAGTGGCTTCTTTGCATGTGCTCTCAATTTCTTCCCGACTGCACAGTGTTCCTCTTTCAACACCCAAACCAAGTAAGGCGCATGTAACTGCCCCCTTCTACCTGCTCCCAAGCAGCTCAACTTTGCTAGAGACTGTCAGACAGACCATTTTCCCATTCATTTTCCAAATTTCAAGTGGATTCTCAACACAGTTTAGCAATTCTATTGGGTTTCCCCTAAGAAGCTCATTTTTCAACTATGAGATTTTTTTTTTTTACTGCATTTTCATGCTTTCTAGTTTGACTTTATTTCTACCTTCCCCATTGTTAAGCTGTTAACTTTTTATACATAATTGAGCAAACAGAAACTTATTTTCTTTAGACTTAATGGGTATAATAGTTTTTCTCCTTTCAAAGGCCAGCTCCCACCCCTGTTCTGGATTCCACTTCCTATTGCCTTCTCAGGAACCTTGATTCTTCCCAAGTTTTTCATCTATTTTCTCAAGCCAAAAAAATTGCATATAAATTATCATTGATTCTTCTCTTTCTTTCCTGCCCTCCCCTCCAGCCTAATGTGGGTATTTCTGGTTGCTTATTTCCAAAAAGAATGTCAAATCAGCTCATGTCCGGCCATCTCCACTGGTCACCCTCCCCTGAGCCACCATGCCTTTGGCTTCCTGGCACCTTCATGTCACCATTCTTGCTCCACTTACTCATTTTCCAGAGCTGTGCATTTTAAAAATGTGTACTAAGATAAGCTGCTCCTTCGTTAGGGTTGTTGCGGTATCATTCCATCACATTGTTAATGGTGTGTCTGTTTCTTTAATATATGATTTTGTTTCTAATCACTTTTTTAAAAGATTATACTTTTATAGAGCAATTCCAGGTTTACATCAAAATGGAGAGAAAAGTAAAAGAGATCTTCCATTTAGCCCCTGCCTTCACACACACGTAGCTTCCCCCATTATTAACATCCCCCACCAGAATGGTACACTAGTTATAACTGACAAGCCTACAATGACATCTGTCACATTTTGAATGAAATTCAGGTTTGGAGCACAGCCCAAAAAGGCCTGCAATGATCCTGACTGCCTCTCCAACCTCAGCTTGTTTCCACTAGCCCTTTAGACACGCTGGCCTTCTGCCCATTCCTCAAATACCCAAGCCGTTTCCTGCAGTGGGACAGCTCTGTGCTGAAGCCTGATGACCACACATGTGGCCACTTGGGCCAGGTTTGATCACAGCCAACCTGAGCTTTAGAATGCCCTGTGATCCTCCTGGAAGATCATAGGGGATGCTGGTGAGAAACTGCCACCGGCCACTCCACTTTTATCTCCCTGTCTTACAGGGATGACCTGTGGCCCAGTTTGTCATTGCCTCCTGGGTTGAGATGAGGTAGCAGTGTTTCTACCTGCCATCTTGTGTAGCTGCAAGCTATAAAATCGCTCAGCCGCATGTGGAATCAGCATCTCAGGAACAGTGGGCCCCAGCCCATAATTCCATTATCCTGTCATCTGGCCCGTTTCTTTTTGTGTCTTTCTTTGGGGCAAGGCTCAGACAGCTGGCTCCATAGTTCGGGTTTCTTTTGCCATCTCTAAGTAATGACCTGTCTGACCCTAACAAGGGCTTGTGGTTTCTTTACCAGCTGAACCTTGCTTGACATTTCCCAGTCAGGACTTTGGCACTTGCTGTTTTCTCTGCCTGTGTTGTCATTTTTAAAGCAGGGTTTGAAAGTTTGTATAATTATTTCTGTTTTCCCTCGTTGGTGCATGTTATCAGTCTCTACATTGTCATGGGTTAGTCTATGTTGGTCTTAAAATATGTTCACACTCTGATTAAAAACCCAGACCACTGAAAAATCTGAATAACTCCCTCATTTGAATGTTGAAGATACAAATCAGCAGAAATTCTGGTAAATTAATAAAAAACTATGGAAACCACAAAAAAGGTACGAGTCACTTGTTTAATATACAAAGTCTTTCACAGATAATTATATTCTTTTCCTTAATATGTCTTAATACACATTATTCACAAAACAGTAAAGTATTAATGCAAGAGAATTAGGTAAAACCAAAAAAGTACAAATGCTCAACTTCAAAAATTGCACAGTCAAAATAATTGTTTCTTGTTTAAATGCAAAATCCAATCTCAAAGCGGGCTTTCATCAGATATGAGGAAACAGCCCAAAATAACATGATGTCCTTTCAACTCTATTGATATGTAAAATAGCACCTTTGGGCTGATTTAAGGAAAGAAAAAAGGTTTTCATCTTTCTTAAAGTATGAGCCCTACACCATTATTACATAACAACTACCATAATGATGATGATGAGTTTTAATAGCTCCACTTTGTTCCAAAATACTCATTGGCAAGGCAAGGCTAGGTAAACTGTGCCAGGCAGATGGGACAATCTTCCCCATCTCACCCCAGTGACAATGATAATGTCATTGCTCTGATGAGCTAATTTCCCAACCAAAGCCTCACTGTTTGAGGAGAACCCAAGGACCTTTTGCACAAGATAAATGTAACTATGGGGCCATCTCTCTGGGACTAGAATCACATGTCTCAGCAACTCAGAGTGAAGATTTAATCCTGGGGCATTCAGTATATATATATACTCCTCTTTCACTTCTCCATTGCTATCTCAGGGTGATGGGATCATTTCTGTTTTGTTTTGTTTTTTTTCTTTTCTATTTTGGTTTATGTTTTTTTACTTAAGCTTCGTGGCCCTTTGCCCTTTACTTTTAAAAAGATACCCGGATCTCAATCCTTTATAATCTAATCTTTGATCCTGTACAATAAAAGTGGCGGTTCTTTAAAAACAAAATTAACGGCATAAATCTATGCTGTATAGGATGGGTAATACCACAGGTTCATGATTATAAAAATCCAGTTTTGAACACAACCGTCCGCTCACTCTTCAATGTCAGTCCTTCGTTTCCTTCCAGGAGCAGGGAAGTGTGCTTCGGAAGAAGCGTCTCCTGGAGAGCAGCCCTTCTCTTTGAAGGGCATGTCCAGTCCACACAGGCCTGTTACACAGCCAACTCCTTCCAAAGGGCAGAGGCCCCATGGCCTCACAGAACGCAGAGGAAGATAATCCACAGCAGGTTTCAGTGCACATAGCTACTTACTAGTAGATTGAACCAGGAACAGCCATTGCAGAAAATTTTTTAAAAGATTTAAATTCAGGACTTGAGGGTTCAAAAACGGTCAGAAGAATAGCAGAATAAAATACTGTTAACCTGCTAGGGAGCTCTGTTTTTTTCTCATTTTAAAAAAAAAAAATAGTCAAAGCCTGTACAATTTCATGTTGAGAATTTAGGTATGGTTTTAAATAATACCCTATCATCTTTTGTCATTCATACGGTAATGCTCACCTTCACTTTTCATCCCAGAATGTGTTCTTAGTGTTGAGGGAATCCCTTAATACACGAGACCTTATTGTAGCCAGTCATCTGCCACTGTGAAGTGAGCTGTGCACTGATCTATTAATATCTTGCCTAGGTCTGCACAGTATACACACAGTATTTGTGGTGCTAACAATCCTTTTCTTTCCAGAGCAAACAAAAGAGAAATCGTTTCTTTGTTTGCTGGTGGCTAGATTTTTCTACCCACCAATATTGGTAAACAGCATGTTGCTGTCTCTAAACCATAGGAGACATGGATTAGTAAAAAGCTTAGGAAAATTAACAGTTCAGTTGAATCAAGGTTAATCCCTTGGGTGGAGAGGGGCATGGAGTTTAGTTTGCTAAAGGTCCTTTTTTTTTATTTTTTTATTTTTTATTAACACCGCTTATGTTCTTATTCGTACAGAAATTTTGGTCCAGGTTAATTACCTCAACTTTGTTTTCTCTTTGCCTTTATTCCACATCCCTACAATACGTCTTAAGAAAGATGAGTTTGAAACCTTTTGTTTCCTGCCTGATTGAGAATGTTTTTCTCATGTATGCACATGGATACACACACACACAGGGTAGACATTGTTTCCCTTTATTTCTAGGAATCAGGACTGTTGGACTCAGTGTCAGCCACTACTAAGAGTCATATCATCTTTCTCATGAAAAGGTTATTTCTTTCCCCTTTTTTCCTATGATAATCAGTGAAGAACAAGCACACGGATAATTACAAAGTGCGTCAATGTGATACCCGGATTTGTGCAATGCAATACCCATGCTTTGGTTCTTATGGCCATCACGGTTGTCTTTTCACAATAATAAATATGACAGCTAACAAAAATAAATCACCTCTTTAAAATGTAAGACATCTTTACTTGACAGGCCACTATATCTATAATCATTAGTCTAGCTCACTGCAACATCCATCATTCACACTTCAGTTTTACATGAATATGCAAAGAACACAATAATCAACTGAACTGTCAAACCTAAACAACTCAATTTATTACTTATCACAGAATCCCTCGAATGTTTTGCTTCCCAGCTGAGCAAGGGAAAGACTGTCAGCTTTTAAAAATAGAGTTTAAATGCCTAACTATTCATCTGTCAAGTTGACACATTGTATGGATTTTTTTTTTTTAAAAAAAAGCCTTATGTATTTGACTTAATAACAAAATATTTAATTGTTATTTTCCTTTTCAGAAGTGCTTCATCATAGCAAATAAGTTACTTTCAGAACCTTGCCCCAAGCAGATTGCTATATCTTTCTATCCTTTCGTTTTTTCATTCTTTAGTAACTTCATCTAACTTTTCAACCAGCCTGTTTAATTTGATTAATTTAGTGCTTTGTAAAATTATAACATTTGTTGAGACTTTGAGTGAAAGAGTGAATTAAGCTGCTATTTTGAAGTATTCAACTGTTGAATGAATCAGAGGCTCAGTCTCCAAGTTTAGGGTTGTGCTAAGCCAATATGGTTAATTCAAATTGAGATATGCTGTAAGGATAAAATACATACTGAATTTAAAAGACTTGCTTCATAAAAAGAACTAAACTACCTCAATAATTTTTTATTGAGAGAGAAAAACATCAATTTGTTGTTCCAATTATTTATGCATTCATTGGTCTATTCTTGAATGTGCCCTGAACAGGGATCAAACCCATAGGACCATGCTTTAACCAGTTAAGCTATCCAGCCAGAGTCACTAATTTTTAATATTGACAATATGTTGAAATAACTTAAATATATAGGGTCAAATAAAAGACATTCTCAAAATTAATTCCATCTGTTTCTTTTAGAAGCTTACAGTGGGGCTGCTAAAAAAAAAAAAATTAAATTTACACAGGTAGCCTGCATTTGTATTATAGTTCACATTACACTTATGCTAGACTACACTGTTTTAGAGGGTCCAGATAAAATATGGAACCTGAGACTTGATTTCAACTTCTGTGGATATTTAACAGCCAAATAATACCCCCCCCCCAAAAAAAAAAATCTGAAAAATCTTTTGTTCACCATTTAAATAGAATTCCAAGTATTAATATCTTCAAACGTATACTGTGTCTTTTAAAATCATGCATCTGTCAAAACAACTGGACTGCACAACTAATGCCATCAAATTCTGTTCTCTGTCAAAGTGTGACTATCAAAGATGCATCCTCCGAGTGTGCTTCTGATGTGCCTGAGGGACAATGTGGACAATTTCAAGCTTAAAACCAACTATGCTTTCTATTTCCAGATGAGATAGTATAACATTACGAGTCCTTAGAAGAAATACACATTGCAATTCAAGTCTTTATTCTTAAACTCTCCCCTGCTACTCTGAAGACTCATGTCCCATTTGGTCTGATGGATGTACGTTGCCTGAAAGTATTCTTTGCTCCGACGACTTTTAATCCTTTCAGAGACTACTCTTCAGCACACTTGTCACGTTTCTGTATCACTTCAGACTCTGTTTCATGGGGTCTTGGTCATTTGGTGTCTTCTCCTCCTTTCCTTTCTACGCCAAATAAGAGAAACGAGTCAGTGAGAGAAAGAGGAGAAGATAACAGAAAGTGAGTAGTTCAGGACCATCTCTGTCATTCGTTGTGGCCGAGGATTGGAAAGATCTTCTTTGGAGGAATTCCCATCTGTTGCCTCAGTCACACGGGCATCACATCCGGAGGGCTGTCTTCTGTGGAGGGCAGGGGATTTGGACCCGTTTGTGACACAGGCACCACGACCGTATCCTTGGTGTCCGTGTTTACGTTACATGAGAAGCTCTTCTCCTGCTTTTTGGCAGTGTCCGGGCAGTTCTGCACAAAGATTACACGGTTGTAGGCCTTCAACCTGCGCCACAACTGGACGTAGGCTTTACACTGTACATACATGAAGACGAGACCTCCTGTGAAGCCGATGGCCACCACAACCAGTTTTGTCCAGAATGGCCATTCTAGGACACCTTGAAGCAAAAAAAGAGAGAATGTTACCAATGGATTTGGTAATCTTTTCCTCCATGACCCTTTCAAAAGACCACGCCTGCCTGCTGTGGCTCAGTGGTTGAGCGTGGACCCATAAACCAGGAAGTCGTACTTGGATTCCCCCATCAAGGCACATGCCCAGGTTGCTGACTCTGTCCCCAGTAAGGGGCGTGCAAGAGACAGCTGATCAATGATTCTCTCATCATTGATGTTTTCTATTCCTCTCTCTGCAATCAATAAAAACATATTTAAAAATAATTGTGGGTAAGGAATAGATTGCTACATAAATGTTAAATTTTGTAAGTAAGAATTATAACCTGATTGCTTAATTGCTTTCAAATATTCTAAAAGATGTTGTTAAAATTGTATGTGAAGAAATTAATCTTTCCTACCACTGTAATGATCTCTCATATTTTTCCACCTATTATCAAGTGATCAAATACTGCATTAGACTTTTGATATATACTTTGACATTTATTCCTTGTAGCTAAATCTTTAAGGAGGACAGTGAACATACTGAGTGAAAGAATCAGAATTTAAAATCCTTTTAACAATAGGTATATGTGAGTTTGTACATATAAGCCTGACTCCCCACCCTCACCTCATTCCCTTAAAAAAGAGAAAGAGAGAGAGAGAGAGAGAGAGAGAGAGAGAGAGAGAGAGAGAGAGAGAGAGAGAGAGGAGAAAGAAGATATCACATCTCAACAGGGAAAGAAAATTCTAAGTACAGACATGCATAAGATTTAAGATTACAGTCACTTTAGTCAAAATTTAATAAAAATTTTCTCTTTTGTTACTGAGAACCACCACTTTCCTCTCCCCCTACCCCGATATGGCCAAAATAGAATCATCTAAACATGTTTTGAATGTAAAAATCATTGATATGTTTATTATACAGCAAAAGATAAAGGATGCATCCCTTAAAAATGGAGGTAATACTCATCTTGATCTCATGGGGTTTTAGTGTGGATTAAATGAATTAATAGTTTTGGACACACAGAAACTACTGCAAGAATGTAAATTGTAGTTGCTGAGTGATTTAAATGCTATCCATGTTTGACTGGCTTAATGGGTTGTAGATTAAAAGCAAAACTTTCACTGTGCCTATAGTAAGACATTTTTACTGCATTGAGCTTCAATCTTTGGATGCCCCACCTGGACACCAGGCAACGAAAACCAGGAATCCTGGGAAGGAGAAAGTCCTGATAGCTGCCAGTCAAGCCCCTAGCATTTGTTGGCACTACACCTCCTCACCCTGTGCCCCTGGGCAATTCTAATTCCCTTAAGGAGAAAAGTTAAGCAATCTCACTAAAGGTTAGCTAAAGGTCCTGAAATACTTAAGTGACAACTGTATTGTGTTTGATAGGAAACTGAAATATGGTAGTAACCATACTTGGGTAAAAACTGCTGTTTGAATTTTAACTCTTCTAGTCTGACTCCTACACTTGATTAAACACAGGATAGTTACCTCAGCTTCCAGGTGGAGACCTGGAGGCTAAGGCAATTTCCCGGTCCTGGAACCAGGACTACAGGAGATTGATTCCCATGGACTCAGTAGCTTCAGGGGTAGAAACTAGATAACCTTTAGAGACCAACCGCTGAGCTCTGCTTCTGTATTATCAGCTATCTCAAGATAGGGCCACATTTCAATGTCCAGTAGGATGTGACTGGAAATGACCCCGCGGGCTGTTCCCAGTCTTTAGAATTTAGAACAAAGGAAAATTCTTGTGGTTTAGGCCTTTAAGAGAACTGCCTACACCTGGAAAGGTGCAGTCCTCAGTCCTGTGGACTCCACCTGTGTGTGGTGCTCTCGAGGTCGTCCAGGCCAGTTTTTCAATAAATCCTTCTAATCAATCATCAGCCTCCAGTGGTCTTATTTTGAACCCAGGGTTCTACCCCACAGCAGAAACACTATGCTAAACCTTTAGGCCACAATCTCAATGGCTTGAAAACTGGGATGTACCCATTGGCCCCTCTCAGACTCCTTTTATCCCATCGGGTTAATCAGGAGCTACCAGTTGGGTGTTTATGATACAGCTGCAGATGAGGCAAATTACTGATTTCCTCGTCTTTAAAACAGTGACCTCTGAGGTCTCTTCCAACTTTTAAGTTCCTATTCTCCTATCTTATGTAGCAGGTCATGTGACTGGAGGCACCTGGGTGTGTCTGAAAAAGCCTTTCTGAGTCCCCAACAGCAGATGAGAACCTGTGCATGTTCATTGCACAGCTGCAGAACCAATGCATGTTTAGAAAAAGCACCCCCTTGTTAACTTGATCTTTTTAGCTGGGTGCTTAGGTTATAGTTACAAAATGTGTTTATATAATGGTGTGTATGACTGATAAGACTAAGAGGTGGTTTTCTTCATTTTTCTCCTGGTTGCTTCTCTCCAGCTGGTATATTATTTTAAAAAAGAAAGAAAGGGAGAAAGGAGAAGTTTCACACATTTATAACCCTTTCCTTAACTTGTTCAAGGGTAATACTCATAGTGAGTAAACAGGCATGATATATGTGCCTTATTGTATAAACACAGTGTTTCTATTTATCTGAGGCAAGGTCAGGCTTATGGTGTCTTTGAAAAATGAATCATAAAAAGAACCTTTGGAGCTTAGGGTTAGTTTTACAAATGAGGACACTGAGCTTCAGAGTGACTAATGGCTTTGTTCACCAGAGCTAGCCAGAGACCAAGGCGAAACTAGGACCCTGGCCTCTGACAACCAAATCGGTGCTTATCACGTTGGGATTGTTAATAAGAGCAGCACATGTGACTAATTTAAAAAGGAATAGTTTAAACAGTAATGCTGAAAAATATTTTATGGATTGCAGGGAAGTGATCTTTAACACATACTTGAAACAGTGTTAAGAGCCATAGTTCTTATCTGCTGGACTCAGCTGCAGCCAGCAAAAATTTTGGAGCCTCTACTACTAATACCAAGCACGCTCTGAATAATGAATGATGGCCCCTGCCCTGGGGATACAGAGAGGCTCATGAGTGAGTCAGGCATGCGGAAAAAAAATCAATTGGTTATGCTCGTCTTTTATCGTGTGTACATTTTAAAAATTCTGGGCAAGAATAAAATCTTTACCGACGGTCTTTTTAATAGTAGTATAAATCTTTTATTCTTGGTCTGTGTTTTGTTTTTAACACATAAAGAGTATACTGGAGGATTCTTCCAGAATATATGAAGATAAGGTACAAAGAGCAACTGTTCACTCATTAGAATTGGCAGCATGGGCAATTCAAGATATTAAAGTTTCGAGTGTCATGTATTTTTATTTTTTTACCCTTCACAGGTAACAGAAAGAGAATGAGGTGAGAGAGCTATTTGGGGTGTCATGCATATTTAATTTCAAAGAACAACCAGTTAAGAACAAGAAGGTTTTGCTCAGCTGGTGTGGTTCTGTGGTTGAGCGTTGAACTATGAGCCAGGAGGTCACAGCTCCATTCCCGGATATCTGCCCAGGTTCATTCCTGGGTTAGAGGGCAAGCAAGAGGCAGCTACTCAATGATTCTTTCTCATCATTGGTGTTTCTATCTCTCTTCCCTCTCCCTTCCTCTCTCAAATCAATAAAAATATATTGAAAAAAAAAAGAAAAGAGTCCCCCCCCTTCAGGATTGTTAATACAGTTCAAAAGATTTTGCTGATTTATAACCTCAGTTCTGGACAATTTATCCCTCGTCAAATATTTTTGAAGGCTTCTAAGATGGGTGGAAAATATTTTGACTTTGAAATGATGCAGGGCTTTTTTTAATTTTAATTTTTATTTTTAAAAAGGTGTCCTTAATTTTCCCCTCACACGTGGCTGAAGGAGAATAGAAAGAACCCTGCAGACTCGTGTACGTGGACCAAATCGGGATGGTCGCAGGGAGAGGCAAGACCACCCTGGGCAAGTTCATGATTCTCAAACACCGAACTCCAAGTTAGACATCTACAGATATGAAGTCTCTGGCGATCATGTCTGCCCTTGATTGCTAGGAAAACCCTGGAGTCATGAGGTCGTATGTCGGGTATAGGAAGGTGGGGAGGGTGGTGGAATGCCTCTTTGTCTCTCTCTCTCTCTCTCTCTCTCTCTCTCTCTCTATATATATATATATATATATATATATATATATATATATATATATACACACACACACACACAAGGCTATTTCTGGAGCATTTTCTGTGACTTTCTGTTAATATAGGGAACATGGATTTTTTTTTTTTAAGGCCCTACTCTCTAGAAAATTATTTAATAAAGACCTAATAGATATGCCTAAACCCAGCACCGCAGAAACAATGCATAATGTAGTTTTAAACAATGTAGTTTGATATAAATTGTGCAGCCTTGAGTTAAGATTGAGCCAAAAAACAAAACATCACCCTACCTGAGTTTCTAACCACAACACTTCCATTCTCTTTCAGAAAAGAGCAGGGGGATCCGTCACTCCGTCACCACCCCTCCCCTGCCTCCCACCCCCTTTACACTGCATAAACCACATCCCAGGGCATTTGGCAAGGCCTCTCAATCCCTTTTCCTGGCTCAGGTCCCCTTCTGCTTCCAGACCACCAGGAGAGCACATGTTGGTGTGCACTGCTGCCACCATGAGGGCAAGTGTGAGAATGCAGCATCTTTTCTTTCTGCTTTTATGAAACCCAAGAAATAAGTAACAAAGCTTTCCCTTTTACAACTATTTTCCTCTCATCTTTTTCTTTCTTTCATGTTCCTAATTTTTGAGGGAGATTAATAAACATGTAATAACCATGCAAAGATACAGTTACCATCTGAACAATTTCTCCTCTCAAATTCACCAGGGGTAAGAGGGGTTTAGGGGACTTTTTCTCACTATTTTACCAGCTGTGATTGAAGTTTCTTGTAATACTTAGAGCCTGGTGAGAAACAGCTGGTCCATTCAGAAGTGAAGACAATCAACTTTAAGCCACCTATGCACATTAAATGTTGGAATATGCCTTAATGACTTTTGAACATCCTTCTTTGCAGACTTGACAGTCAAACTAGTATGTTTAAAATTTCAAACCACAGTGCTCATCCTACCTCTGTCCGATCCATTACACTGTATTAATTAACAAGCCATAACATTCTCTACCAGAGTATCATCTTGTTCTTGTTAGAAAAGAAGCAGTGACTAGGGTGAACTAAATAAAATAAAATAAAAAGACCTTCCATTTTTACAACTATTTGCCTTTGCAAAGGAGGAAGAACCTGATCCTTATTCGGCTCCTGTGAAGTCTGGAGCGGTGGATGGCATACAACTATTTCTCCCCACCAAGGTTTACTTGGACTTCATTATCTTACCTTTGGGCTCGGGACCCCATACAGCTAATGCCTTTGAGCCGGAGCACAGTTGGAGAAGACTTGGTTTCCAGTACTGGTTTTCGCTAGCGCATCACACATGAAGATCTAAACCCGGGAGATGGTTTTCCTACTCAGTTCTGGCTATTGTCATAGAATCCAAGAGAGAGACAGAGAGGGGTGCTCTTACCATTGTCATTGCCTTGCCTGATCTCCTCCGCTGTCCGATCTATTAAGACATACAAGGACCACACCACACACGTGATGGCGATGACGTGGAATGTGACAGAGCAGAATATTTTCCTCCTTTCACTCGTGGTCATCTGTAGTTTCTCCCACTGCAATCAGAAACAAATGACAGGAGGCTGAATTTCTAACGAGGACATTTTGGCCTCCATTTACACCCCACAGAGAGATCAGGACTGGAAGGAAAACAGGAATTGTTTGCCTTGCCAGAGGACACTCATGTTCAAATTAGTCTCCATGAAATCATAACCTGTGGCATTATAGGTGACTTGGGTGAATATTACAATGAAAATGGTATTTTCCTAGTGTCCAAATGAACTAAATCAAGTCACTTCTGTTTTGCTAGCCTATAGTTTCCTTGCCCGGTAACATGAATGGGATACTTGTAATATTTTGAGAAAAAAATTTCCTTCCAGGGTTCTGCATCTCACTTCTTTGCAGCACTAGGTTACAAACACTGGTAGCAATAAACAATCTCTTCTTGGATAAATACGTAACCTGAGACAGTGTTGCATTTTTTAATGTAAAGGTCCAACAAAATAGTTGAATGGCTGGATGATATCTGTGAGAGGAAGTCAACATGGGCTCACAAGTCTTCCAGAAAATACTACTTTTGTATCTGGGCAATGTGAGAAGACCAGCTGAGGCCCCTTTGCAAGCTAGTCTTGATTTTCTGCTGTCACCACGATTACAATGGCTGCCCCCAGTCACCCTCTGCGTAAGGCGTTGAGGGCTGCTGCCTCCGTCGGGGAAAGGAGGAGGAAACTATTGTTAAAGTCATACATGAAGGGTTACAAGAGGTAATGTGTCCATCATTAACTTAAAATAGTTTTATTGATCTTTTTTTTTAATATAGAGAGGAAAGGAGAGAAACATCCATGTGAGAGCAGAACATCAATCTGCTGCCTCCTGCACACCCACTGCCAGGGACTGAGCCCTGACCGGGAATCAAACCTTGAGGTGTATAGGGCCCCGTCCAACTAACTGAGCCACACCAGCCAGGGCGATTCCCTTATTAACTTGGAAGAAATAGACCCCCAAATGCAATTGCAATGCTTTGACAGCTACAGTATCACTTCATTTTTGTGCAAGAAACTGTGGTTTTATTTTTCTTTGCATTATTTCTGTAGGAAAATCTAATCACTATGATCTTATTAGAGGTGCTAAGCTTTTAATAATCCGATTCTTTGTATTTTTTATTTACAGTGCTCTTATTAAAGCAAAATCTTTAGAACTTCAAAGACCACCCCCAACCCCCACATAAAATTCCATACACAATCCAATAGAAAACAAGAGGGCATGCATTATGGTCCATAAAGCCCTGGTTCTGAGACATGGGTGAAGCCCTTTAACCTCTCTAGGCCCACTTGCCTCATCATAAGATGCAAATTGTGTCTGAGGTTACGACAGTGCACTTTGGGGAGAAGAAGTTGTTATTTTCTTCCTTTATTAACAGACTAGAGGCCCAGTGCATGAAATTTGTGCATGAAATTGAGGGAGGTCCCTTAGCCAGGCCTGAACCCTCTCGCAATCTGGGACCTTTCAGACATTCCTCTAGCAATCCAGGACCACTGGTTCCTAACTGTTCACCTGCCTGCCTGCCTGCCCCTAAACACTCTACCTGCCTGCCTGATCACCCTTAACCATTCACCTGCCTGCCTGATCGCCCCTAACTGCCTTTGCCTGCCTGCCTCATCACCCTGGTCTCTGGTCCTTCTGATTGTCCCACCATTTCAGTCGCTGAGCTTTTATTATATAGGACTAGGAATTCTATAAGGGTCAGCATTGTGCCCAGAGCAGAGCTGCTTTCCAACCTTCCCTGGCAGAGGCGGACGTTGGCTGCTATCCAACAATGAGATGTGAGCAGCTGTCTATGAGCATATGGAGTTTTAGCCATCCAGACCTGGAATTGTCCCTTCCCCATCTCCTTCATTTCCTTTTCTCTGCTATCTGCAATTCATTGTTACCAGTACTAGTACCAGCAGTCATCTTGCAACCTGGGGGAACAGCCTTGCGCATTGGGGAGACCTCAGCCCGATGAACAACAGCCCCTCCACTGTTGCCACTCACATGGGAGGAAAATACAGCCCTGTTGGATTGAGCGTATTTCCCAGGACCCTGCTACTTGCTGTCAAAGCAATTGCTGATCAATGACTGAGGTGGATGCTCCCTCACTTCCCTTCCACGATAACGGTGAAGGTCCTATTATTTCTTTTCGAGGAGAGCACAACGCTTCAAGTCTGATCATGAGGCTCCAGAAAGCTTCTTAGAGAAAACTATGTTTTATTTATAAACACCATCGGTTTCTCTCCCCTCACTGGCCAATCAGCACACAGTTTTCTTTATAAGTGTTTATTAGAGCCAATGAATAATTCATACTTCATCTTGTACTTGCTTTTTTCATCAAACTACATTTTACATAATAGTCCACGTAAATAATGGAGAGATCTTAGTCACGGGGCTAGGGGAAAGCCACATGCTTCAATATTGAATCTGTTTTAATTAACCAATACTGAATTGAAAAAAATTTTAGTATGCGTATCTCAGTTTTCACAGATAAGCCTGATTTTAAAAGATTTGTTTTGTTATGGATCTATTGTAATGTTAATTTGTGAGTCATCTGTGTAAGTAGAGAATTATCATTTGGTGATAGCATTTTGTGATTTAATAACTGTTTTTCTTGCATCAGCTCAATATTCAATAGGACCAAATACACAGTGCAGGCTGCTACAGAAAAGCAATTTTCATTCTAAGTGTTCCAAGCAAGTGAGAATACCTTCAGTAACAAAATGTACATATCAAATCAACCCTCAATAGTAAAACTGGCTTTAGGAAAAATAAATCCATAACAATGGGGTCTTCTTAAATTTGAGGAGAATTTTGATGCTGTGGCTGGAACACATTCTTCCAAATTAATGAACCTGAAATAGAAAAGTATCAGGGGCTGGCAAGGATGGACCATGTTCCAGACAGTAGAAATTCTGAAGTTGTCACTTCCTAATCTCAGGAGTATTTTAAAAAGTGAAGTGCAAAGGGAGCATCTAAGTTTCCCACTTTATAAATCCTGCAGGGACTATTCACGGACAGCACACGGGGAAATGTGGTACCACTGCGCCCTCCTCTGCCACGATCAAGTTACTGCATACTGTGGTCAGCACAGTGAATGGTAAAATCTCAGACATAGTGGACTAATTCGGGCAGGGGCTGTGGGTTAAAGATAAAAGTCCGTTACATAATAAAGTAGGTTTTCCAAGTGCATATGTAAAAAATTACAAATTAGTTAGTTTACCTGTTTTACATATGTAGACCTTTTTTTGTAATTAAAATGAAGTACACAGGGAAAGCTTAACTTCACAGAGAAGTTTTCTATATGTATTACAGTCATTTTACATTTTTTCTGAATAGTTCTAGTAAATGCATGTGCCCACCAGTCACTGAGAGGAAACAAATGTACATGGCTGGGGCGTGGCTCAGTGCACGGGGGAACATTGTAGGCACAGGTTACAACGGCGGCAGGAAGCCACAACAGACCACAGAACCAATTATCCCGCGCGTGATGCGGCGTCACCACGTGGTAACCATTGAGCGTGATCACGAGCTAATCACTTGGTGTGATTATCTGCTCATCATTCAGCTGACCATTCAGAGACCCGTGACTCTGGATTTTCATATGTAGACTATAGTTGCAGACAGGTAACATTTATTTATGTCAGTGAAATCACTAAAGCGTTTTTTTTCCCCAACGTATGGCCTATTTGCTAAAATTTGTTAAAAATAACAGTGAATTAATAACTATATATATATATATATATATATATATATATATATATATATATATAACTTGTTAATTTAATTATAAGCAAATCCTGGTTAAAAGAAATTTAACTTTTAATAGGGTGTTAATTTTCACATATGACACATGGGCTGGAAATTTGTCTGTTAAATCCAAAGTCCGTTAAATTGATGTCTGAAAAATCAAGGGTTTACTGTATTTTATGAAATGTTCATCCATATCCTTGCATTTTCAGGTTTGTATACAAAGTGTGAACAAGTGTTACAAGCCTACACAGGGAGGCATGGATGGGGAAGGCAAGGACAGAATTCTTACTTTAACAAAGATGTCACGAAAGGGCCTTAGTTTAATATTTGGGATGCTGGAGTTTAATAAAAGTTCACAAAAGGTTTTGTGATGGGAAAGTGATAAAATGCACATAAGCATTTGTGCTCCCCTGCCTGGTTTTATAGAATAACGTGTGCTTATGCCCTATGACCACGTGTGTGATATTCACCTCTGTGACTTCTGCAGGCAGGGCTAATTAGAAAGCAGAGCCTCCTGGGGTGCTTGGCAGCACCACCTGGCACCTGTTAGAGATACAAACTCCCAAGCTCCTCCTTGAAATGGTCCGCCCTGTAGTGGATGAAGGGCGGCTCTCTGACAAGACAGCAGCCTCATGTTAACTTTGCCACGTACAGGGAGCCAGGGCCACAGACTTTCCTACGGTATTTAGGTTGTTTATGAGTAAAATATTGGCCCTCAAATCCCTCTGTTTTAGGGTGGCATGTGTCTCCCCACGTGGTGTCAGTGAAGCTGGTGGAAATGCTAACCGAGGGCAGGACACACACCACAGCGCACCACCCAGCTTCCCATAACCCTTCCCACTGCCAGCTCCCCCACAGCCCCCACCAGTCACCAAGGTCTCTACACCTTCACAGCGGGACACAAGCTAAGGTGGGCAAAGCCAGCGTCACCTAGTGGTCTCCGACCTTGCTTTAGGATGTGTAGTCTCAGGGCCTTTGGTAGCTGGTTTATTTTTCTTGGCCTTTGCTCCCTTGCAGAAACCCCTCAACAGTAGGAAGAATTAAACGGAACTTGGTTATGCATTTAGAAATAGTTATAGAATAGCTGCAGGGATGTCAAGTACAGCATAGGGAATCCTATTTAACAAAAGGCTAATATGCAAATCAACTGGACAGAGGAACGAGTGGTCGCTATGACACACAGACCACCGGGGGAAGATATTCAATGCAGGAGCTGCCCCCTGATGGTCAGTGAACTCCCACAGAGGGAGCTCAGCTCAGCCAGAAGCCTGGC